GGGCAAGTCCACACCAGATCAACTTCCCTGATTCTCCCGAATTTTCGACCACGCACTTTCCAGCCTCTAGCATGTCCCAAGAAAGTGGATTCCTAACCTTAGGCTTCGTCTGCGTATTGGCGTGGACCCTATCAATGGTCTTCAACATGGCAAGGATTTGANCACTTTCCACCCCATCGCATTCGCGGAGCCACGGGCCCGAACCCGCCCCTGCTCGAGCCTCCTTCCAAGTGTTCCACATCCTTTGATACACCTTGTTGGTACCACTTCCCAAAGACCCGAAGGTGAGTGCGTTGACCAACCGCTCCCCCTCGACGCTCGTGCCTCCCCGGCCATCCTTTCCCTGTGTTCCTGATATTCAATCATCGGGTATGCACAGCGTGGGGAATGGCACATTTCGAGGTTCCTTTATAAGGTACGACAAGTTCGTGCCGAAACCGTGGATAGCCCCGACTTGGCTTGAAGGGAGTACCGAAAAACTTGGTCGTCCAAACCAACTCTGCCTCCCCTGGCTTTCCATTTTATCAAGACGTCATGAAACAGTGAATGTGAGGCGTGTCCACCGCTCCAACTTCTCGCTATCTCATTTCGTTTGATGATTCGTTGATCGTCCGGAAAAACACGGAGCGGTGTCCATCCGCCCCTTCTGCCGTGTCAGATATTTTCTGTTCCATGGACCATAATGTCCCATACCGAGTCGTCCAGACTTTCTTTCGGCAATTTCTTTTGAAGGATAAGGCTGAGCAACGCTCGTCCCCCTTCTCCAATATCCTGCTGTGTCCACCCCGAGTCTTTTGTGAGCATTTTCACGTTGGCGGCGATCTCGTTTTCTTTCCAGCGTGAGATCCCGTCCGCAAGTGTGTTCTTTCGACCAGGCAGGTGCTTGGCCACGTGGCACCAGCCGCAAGAAATTTCCATCCTACCCATGAGTCTCATTATGAGGCTAGCGCGCCTGTCACGCGATCCCCCACACCTGTTAGTCCAACTGACGGCCGACAAGTTGCCTCCACGCATCAACACCGACTGCCCTTCTTCTACAGGTCTGTCTTTCAAGATCATTTGGACTACCCACGCCGTCATGAACATGCCCGCGAGTTCTAACAGATTGATCGTAATGTCCGACGTCTCCTTCTCTTGCGCCTTGCGCTTGAGCTCCGCAGACAACGATGAGTCGATCGTGTATCTCCAGAAAATCTTTAGTTCGGGACAGTAGCCGCCAATCGCTGTGAAGCTAGCGTCTGAGAGGTAAAGGCGTGATGGTGCTCGTTTTACGTGTAGTAGGAACGATGCGCTGAGGGACTCCCCTCGAAGTGCCAGTGGCTGATTAAGGGCCCACTTCCAGAAGGCGATATCGCTGTGGAACTCTCTACCCAAGTCCACTAGTCGTCGTGACCGTGTGTGTCGACTGGCCTGCGTATGCAGACCCGATAGATAGGCGGAGTAGTTGCCACACGAAGTACCTACCGGCCCTGATAACGTAAGTGAGGTTCCACAGTTTTCCTGCAATGCTGAGGAATTCTTGAACACTGGCCTTCTTCCTATCGTGGGGCCAATCTGTCTCTAGTATGTTCCGAATCGCGCTTATCCTTTCCGGTGTAGTTGCAATTCTGCCAGCATGCGTGTCTATGATGTACCCCAGGGCCTCTATGACCGTGTCCCAGTCAGTGCTCTTTTTCGGGGCGAGAATGGGGGTTTCTCCGAGTTCTCCCTTGCCAAACAGTCTGACATGGTCTGACGCTAGTGAGGCGGACGCAATGAGTGCCGATTGGTCAGTGGGGTCATGCTGGACCTTCGTGAGCAAGAAATCGTCAACGTAGACCCTGGCCAAGAAATCGTCCGCGGGTCCCCCGCCTCTATGCGGTCTTACGCCTGCCGACGATGGTATTGGGGTTGGGGTGCCTTTTTCCCAAGGAGGTTTTATTTTCACGTGGGACATCATTGCGATTCCTTCTGGTAGTAGTCGAGCGTTCGCGAGGGACGTGTTGCGGTGCGAGTGTTCTGCCGCGGAGGCTAACTCACCCCACAATCCTGGTGATGCTGCCCAGCCGAAGGTCAGCCGTAGATCCGCTACTAGCACGTCTCCTATCACGTAGCAAAAGTAGTGTGCATGATCTGGTGATATCCTCACATTTCTGAACGCAGAGGTGACATCAGCCTTGGCTGCGAGAATTCTCTTGTCTGGCCATCTTACTCGTAGGCTAGTGAGCTCCTCGAGGAAAGCTGGTAGGGCTTCGCCGCACAGGCAACGTGGAACTCCGGACATAATGGTATCTTTGTTGAGCCCACCTTTTGACCCCTTGCTAGTGCTTGGGTCAAAAGAGAAGTCGTTGATGATCCTCACTTTTTTCCCTGGGACCGCTCCCAACGGGGCTACTCTGATCCCACGTACGTCCGACGCGTTCGCCTTTCTCAGGACGATACACCTGTATCGCTTGACATCGTCGCATAGTTTTTCCCACACTTGCGTTTGGTGTTCGTCTACTCTACGGTAGTTGCCGTATGCCAAGGCTTTCTTAAGGTTTTGCTGCGAGTCTAGAGTGGGGGCCGGGGCTCCTTCGCCGACTATCTCAATGAGGTCATGGATACCCGGAAAGCCCTTCTCCTCTCCGAAATATTGCTTGACGTCGCTCACGTCCAACGGCGGTGACACCAAAGTGCCGCCGATTCCCCTCGCGACGTCTCCCAGCCTTCCGTCGTGGAGCTTTACCAAATCACTACCAATGTCCGCCATCTTCCGAATGATGCATTGCTTCTCGTCTAGTGAGTGTGTGCTTGACGCGAGTCTGCTTCTCTGTACCTCGAGTCTATCGGTCAAAGTTTTTGAATTTTCCGACAAGGTTGTATTGGACTCTCTAGGGCCGAAGGATCTTTCCCCGCCCCAAAGTGAGAAGTCGTTGACTTCGACCCGCAATCATGTCACATTACTTCTGTGATGTCAGCGGCCCTAGCAGTGGCCGCCGCTAGTGCCCTACGTGCCAGCAGTGCTTCCCCCGGGGTGTCCGCCCCCGGGAGAGCTTTTCACACGGTCATGGTGTCCGCAGATTCCGTATCGTACCCGCGAATGGTGTCCGCCAATCGGGGCTGTGTGACTGACAAATTCTTACGCAGGGTGTCCGCCCTGTGTATGTCCTTCTGCACACTACTAGTGTCCGCCAGTATTTTTTGTTTACCGAAAACGCTCGCGGCGTCCACCGCTTGCGTGCCACGGGGCCAATTACATCCGCCCGGGGTGTCTGCCCCCGAGGCGACTGCATTGCAATGTTCAGCACGTGTGGTGTTCGCCACAGTCTTCGTGGTGTACAAGGCAGAGCAGCAATTGATCCCGCTATTGGTGTCCGCCAATAGGTATTCCGTTGCTGAGTTTTTCGCGGGAACGGCGTCCACCGTTTGCGAGAGTGAGGGTAATGAATGTTCACACCGGGTGTCCGCCCGGTGTGTGTCAGTATTCGTACAATTGGTGTCCGCCAATAGGTATTCCGTTGCTGAGTTTTTCGCGGGAACGGCGTCCACCGTTTGCGAGAGTGAGGGTAATGAATGTTCANGCGTCCACCGCTTGCGTGCCACGGGGCCAATTACATCCGCCCGGGGTGTCTGCCCCCGAGGCGACTGCATTGCAATGTTCAGCACGTGTGGTGTTCGCCACAGTCTTCGTGGTGTACAAGGCAGAGCAGCAATTGATCCCGCTATTGGTGTCCGCCAATAGGTATTCCGTTGCTGAGTTTTTCGCGGGAACGGCGTCCACCGTTTGCGAGAGTGAGGGTAATGAATGTTCACACCGGGTGTCCGCCCGGTGTGTGTCAGTATTCGTACAATTGGTGTCCGCCAATAGTTTTGACTCATCTATCACCCGTGCGGTGTCCTCCGCTTGTGTGTTATTTGACCCGTACATTGCGCCGAGGGTGTCCGCCCCCGTAGCTACTGTTTGTGACGTTTTGGCGTGAGTGGTGTCCGCCACTATGCAAGGCGGAAACGAATCCGAACAGGTAACAATATGGGAAATTACAGGTTCGCAACTCATGCTCTCACCGTAACACACAGCGGGTGCCACCGACCCGGGGAGGGACCTCCCACGCTCGCTACTATCCTTCTGCTGTCCGCGAAGGCGTTCNGCGCCGAGGGTGTCCGCCCCCGTAGCTACTGTTTGTGACGTTTTGGCGTGAGTGGTGTCCGCCACTATGCAAGGCGAAAACGAATCCGAACAGGTAACAATATGGGAAATTACAGGTTCGCAACTCATGCTCTCACCGTAACACACAGCGGGTGCCACCGACCCGGGGAGGGACCTCCCACGCTCGCTACTATCCTTCTGCTGTCCGCGAAGGCGTTCGCTCCCGTGCCAAGCTCGCCACCCCCCCTTGTCGACCCCACCTCGTGAAAGTGGGGCCCGCACCGTTACGGGTGGGTACCGCCACGGCCTCCTCCCGCGCTCCCTCCACCTCCTCCCCCTCCCGCTGCTCCTCCTCCCCGGCCGCCTCCGTGGCTGT